GTTAGCATTAAAATTATGTCATTTGTAAAGAGCGTTATTTTGTGGTGGTTTTTACCTATATAGAAGCCATGTATATCTAGATTTTTTGTTACATAGTTTCATATTTAGTCTGGCTGAAAAAAAGACAAACGTCCCTCCAGTTCAACCATTACAAAAATGTTATAATCCTATACCCACAGTTGATCCAGAGGAAGGCAAAAAACCCAGCAAAGCATGAACCAATTTGCTCCTGCAGGAGAAAAAATGCCTTCCTGATCCCCCGAGAGGCAATCGGATATTCCCTGGATCAACTTTAACTATAAATGTTAGTATCCAGTTATATTCTGTGAATCTAAGAAAGAATCCAGGCCTTTTTTAAAGCAATCCACTGAGCTGACCAGAACCAACTCTTGAGGGAGTCTATTCCACATTTTCACAGCTCTCATGGTGAAGAAACCTTTCCGTGTTTATTGCAGATTACATTTACTTTCCTCCAGACGTAAAGAGTTCCCCCTTGTCCTCTGTGATGACCTCAGAGTGAACAGCTTTGCACCGAGTTCACTGTATGAACCACTGATGTATTTATACATGTTGATCATATCTCCCCTTAATCTCCTCTTCTCAAGAGAGAATAAATTCAGTTCCTCTAATCTTTCCTCATAGCTGATCTCCTCCATGCCTCTTATCAGTTTGGTTGCCCTTCTATGTACTTTCTCAAGTTCCCCAATGTGCTTTTTGTGAATTGGTGCCCAAAACTCAACAGTGTATCCTATCAAAAGCCTTTTCGGCATCCAGAGCAAGTAATAAGGAGGGAATTTTATGTGAATCTGCGTAATGAATTATGTTGATTAGTCTCTGGGTTGCGTCAGGTGTTTGTCTACCTTTAGTAAAGCCTAACTTATCAGGCTTGATCAAATCTGGGAGTATATTGGCCAGTCTGCACACTATAATTTTAGCGCTATAAAATTCTTAGTTGTGATTTCGAAAGAGTGGGTAAGCGAATTTATGATAAAAATGCTTGTATGTTTTCAATAGAAGGTTGGAAAGTGGATTTGTCTTGATTTAGGTTATAAAGCGAATCGTAGTAACTAGCAAATTAATTTGCTATTTCTTGAGGATTAGTGATTTTAGTTTTATCCTTTGGGTTGATAAGATACGGTATTTTAGCTCTAGTATGTAGGGATTTCATTTTATCCGCTAGGTATTTCCCTGCTTTGTTTCCATTAGAGTAGCAGTTGATTTTAATCTTTGCATACTTCTATCAAATTGGTACATTAGTAAGGAGCGTAATTCGTTCCTTAGTCTGGAGAGTGTATTCAAGGTGGTTTGATTGACTTGAGCTCTATTTTGCATTTCTAGTTTGTGAATATGCTGTAGCTGTTTATTTCTTTGCTTTTTAGCCTTAGTGGACATTTGTAAAATTATACCATGTATATATGCTTTGTGAGCACACAAAAGGGTGCCAGAGTTTGATATAGATTGCAAAAATTTATATAGAAGAACTCACAATGTTTTTCAAGTATCAAGTTATTGTTGTGGATTTTTAGAATGGACAAATTTACACACCAGGGGTTGTGTGGTTTTAATAAGTGGTTATCCGAAATAGTACCTGAAACTGCCACGTGGTCTGACAACGTTATATTGCCTATGGTTGATGTGGTAACATTTTGCAGTAGCCATTTATCTACCAATATAAGGTATAAGGTCAATTCTCGAATAAGACTGATGCCGAGCTGAAAAAAAGGTTTAATCTCTTTCACCTGCATGTTGGCACGTCCAAACGTCATAGACATCCTCATTTATTAGGGGTATAGCGTTGGAGTAGTCTTTTTTTGGGATTTTGTTGAGTCTAGGTTTCTGTCAACTATGAGATTGAAGTCACCACATAGTATAAGGGAACCAGAACGATTTTTGTAGATTAGTTTGAAGAGCTTGGTAAAGTATCTTATTTGATGAGTATTAGGTGCATATGTATTTATAATAGTGTAATTTGTATCAGCTATAGTACATATAAGAATCAGGTACCAGCCTTCAGGGTCTGAGATATTTTTATAAAGAACATATAATAGCATTGAGTACTCCTCTCTTTTTTCAGAGGCATTGGCAGTATAGACATGTAGAAACTTTTTGTGTGAACCTTTAGGACAGGCCAAATGAGTCTCTTGAACACAGAGTATATCACATTTATCTTTAAATGCCTGTTTCCACGTTTCAAACCATTGACATTAATAGAGATAATTTTTATACCCATTGAATATTTACCGATATTAATCGGGGCTTAACAAAAGGGCCACTAAACCGGTAAAACATTTTTATGCGCATGTCAGTTAAACCATTTAGACTATCAGGAATTACAAGATAGTAGAAACAAAAAGGAAAAAAATAAACAAATACAGATAACTGAACAGATAACAAATCATTAAAAAAATAGGATATGAAACTTGTGTAGTACTTTTGGGACAAAAACAAAACAAGTGATCTTGCCATCGGCAGGCAAACTTACAGGTAGTGTGTTCGATAAGGGTAGTACCCTCAGTGCCTTGCTTAAACATGTGAAATTACATCTAAGCGGGCCCATGAAATAGGATTGCAAATATACAGTCAATGTTTAGTTTGGCATTTGTGAGTGGCCAGGTTCCACTCTAGAGATGCTCTGGTGGTGGTAGAATGTTGTGGGTCGCTTTCTGGGAAAATGTCCCACTCTCCAAGACATTGCAGACCTTCCTCTAGGCTGTTGATTGTGATGATTGAGTCATTTCTGGTGACAATCAATGTAGTGGGGTGACCTCAATGATCAATAATTTTGTGGTTTCGTAGAGCTTTTGTTATTGGAAGGAGATTTTTCCCTAGATGCATGGTGTGCTTAGATAAATCTGTGAAAAACTGTAAAGAGGAGAATTGTGCAGGTAAATTTTGGGGTTTGCGCGCAATTTCCATGATTTTTTCTTTGACATGAAAAAAATTAATTCAAGACATCTCAAGGTATTTTATCTGGCAGATAGGAGGGTTTGGAAGGCGATGTATTCTATTGATGGTCAAATCTGTGTTTGTAGCATCAGGTAGGAGGGTACAAAAGAGCTGTTGGGTATATGCTCTCAATTGGTCAGATTGTATCGACTCTGGAATGCCTCTTGTTTTAATATTGTTACGTCATGATCTATCCTCCAGATCTGTGACTTTATTTTTGAACCATTACATTTCTTTATCCCTTTCATTGTGGGCATCTACTAGGGTATCAAAGGAAGTGGCGTATTCTCCCATTTTTGTTTCAACATGGTCAACTCTGTTTCCAAGATCAATCATTTCTGATTTGATTTGCTGCATAGAGTTAATGATATCTGACTGTATGTATGATCTTAATGGAAGGAGCATCTCCTTCATTAATGTATCAGAAATAGGCTGACTAGTAGTAGGAAAGTTAGTCATTGGATCTGAGAAATTATTTGAAGAATGTGAAATATTAGTGTGAGAATCTGTTCTAGCATGACTAGTAGAAGGAAAGTTAGCCACTGGATCTGAGAAATTAATTGCAGAATGTGAAATATTAGTGTGAGAATCTGTTGTAGCATGCTGTCGGTTAATATCTGTCATTCTAGGTTTAGATTTTGCTGGGCTGTCAATAGAGGAAGTAGAGAAAGCAGGGGAGACAGGATGCAGTAAGATAGAGCTGTTTTTCTGCTTAACAGGTGTCACAGGAGAAGCTGCAGAGATTTGCCCATGTGCTGAGTGAGAGGTGGAGGATCCTGAGCTGCTGCTGCCATATTGGGGATCGCTGTGATCCGGACTAGGGGTATATTTTTGTTCAGCCATAAAAGCAATATAGCTAATCCCCAACAGGAGACCGCCCCTAGACATGCATGTGCTGGAAATGTTCATTTCTATTAATTTGATGCATTCGTTCATTGAAGAATTTCATTTGGTCATATTCATTATGTTGAACAGATTTGTTTTCGGGATTTGTTTCATTGTATTCGGCATTTGTTTAGTGTATTGGTTTGGTGTATCGTCAAGGTGGATTCAAAAAATGTTGTAGTTTTCTCAGAAGATTGCTATATATACATTTTCAAATTCAATATTTTGAGTGGATTCATTATTTATATATCAAAACTATTTGGAATGATTTGATATTTTCAGACACAACTGAATAAATAATGCAAAATTTGAAGGCCTTAAATTTTTCAAACATAGGAATTGCATTAGACTGTGGAACTAAACTGACCGTGACAGTTACAAATTCAATTTAAATCACAAATTTACTTAATTCAGAATTATCAAACTAATTAAAAAATTTAATTCATTCTCCATAGGCCCAAACTCATCATGTGACATCATCCGAATGAAACAAATGAAACAAATGATTTAATTAATTTCATTATAACTTTTTTTCAGATTCGTTTACATTCTTTACAGTGTCCATTTGGAGATTCTTATACATCCGTATCTCAGAAAATATAATTTTCAAATGAAAATTGATTCATTACAAAACAACGCACATGTCTAACTACCCCTCTCTGGCATATCTCACCCTTACAGGCTTAGTCATAAATATTAAAAATTAACTGAGTTGAGGGACATCATCAATGTGCGGCTTCTCCTTTTGTCACTTGAAAAAGTTTTGGCTTTGGATACACCAAGGGCAGTCAGCACCATTATGTTGACAAGTCTGTTATATATGCTGGTGTTATATAATCCAATTAAGTCTGATTGGCAATCATCCCAGCACATTTTATTGATTGAAATGCATTTCAGAGCAGTGCATGGCAATGAACTAATGTATGTTGTGGTGGATAAACAGTTTTTGGTGCTTTTTGGTGTATTGGCAACCCATACATTTTGAGTCCTGCAATGGTTTGAACAAGCTAAAACAAATTCTGTTTATAAACAACATAGTCTATGAATTACAGGGTGATTAAATAGAATATTATTTACAGAAATACAATGACTATTGTGTGTTTTTTTCTGTAAAGCTGTACAACAGCTTTCCATTTGTGGTAGGTTTCCTGCCTGGAGACCACAAGAAGATGGATGAAAACCGACTACAGATTCAGAACTTTATAAGAGCAACATTTACTGAGCAGAGGAAACAACTGGATGTAAATGATCAGAGAAACCTTGTTGATACATTTCTGGCCAAGCAGCAAGAGGTAAGGATTGAAGCAATATTAAATGCTCAAATTTGTTTTAGCTTAACACCATTTATCAAATGCAAACTTTCATGAAAATATAAAGTGAAATGAATTTCAGTGACACAAACACAATATAATATGCAATTTTCTTGTCGTATTTAAAATATGATATTGCATTGAGTAAATAGATACCCATCGTGTCAATATTTAAAAATGCATATGCCTGTGAAATGGTGACAAACTATGGTATCTAAAATTGATATTAGTTGACACTCTAAAATCTTTTACAGGTTGTCAATTTAGAGTTAATCATAAATTGTGGCACTAGAATTATTGCTCTCACTCTCAGTGATACCTCATATGTGTAGTGCAATCATTTTTTAAACATGCATGCTGGACCTAAGTCTGTGTTCACATTTGTGTGTTTGCTCAGGGGGGGTAGGGGTGCTTTTACATTTTTTTTTACATTATGTTAATTTAAATTTACTTTTTTTACACTATTTATTTATTTTATTTATTTAACTTTATTGCTATCACAAGGGGGCAACAAGCCCACTTGTGATAGCTTTGGGCAAGTGAAGGTATTCTTTATGGAGACATTAAGGGGTTTATTTACTAAAGCTGGAGAGTCCAAAATCAGACTCCCTTCTGCATAGAAACCAATCAGCTTCTAACCTCAGCTTGTTCAATGAAGCTTTGGCAATGAAACCTGGAAGCTGATTGGTTTCTATGCAGAAGTGAGTCTGATTTTGCACTCTCCAGCTTTAGTAAATAAACCCCTAAGGGTCTGTTAGACCCCTGATTTCTCCACTGCCCTCCAAAGCAGCCATAATCTGCCATGATCTGATGAGGAGAGGAAAAGCAGTCATGTGACCTGCAAAACAAAAGCAAAAATGGTTAACTACGTTTATTGCTGGTGGTGTTGATTGCTAGTGGTGTGCCCGACCTAAAAAACTGGAGTAAGCATTTTTGTTTGCATAAAGTTTCATTTTATATTTTTGGGTTCGACTGACTCACTACCTCTGCTGGACATCTGTTTCAAGTATCAAATACTCTTTCAGATAAATTAATACTTTCTAAATTGAGTTTAGAAATTTCCATCTGCTAGTTTGTGGTCATGCCCCAGTGATCTTGATCCTAGCTTCATATTGATAAAATTTCCCACCTGAAGCTTATTTACACCCAAATGTATATAAGGTTTCAGTCATGCCTCCCCTTTCCTTTCTTTCCTACTCATTCATTTTTTTTTTAAATAAACCCTTTCATTTTACAGTATATTACTTAGCTTATTTCAGACCCATTGATTACTTGGTCTCATTGCCAGAGAACTGGTGCTACATTGCAAAGACATAACTAGAACCCTCAGGGCCCCCATGCAAGACACCATAAAGGGCCCTCCCAGGTCCCCTCCATATTCATTCTGCAACGGCTGAATGCCCGTGGGAGGGAGAGGAGGAGAAGCAGGCTTTCATTGGCTGCAAGGAGGAAGATGGAGGGGATAAGACATGTGCGGTTTGTTTTGTTCTGAATCAAAATTTGGATACAATTTTTGTCATTCAGAGATTCAGATGTATACCAATTTCTAAATTACAATAATAACAAATCTAAATGAATCCAGAATAAGAAAAGAAAATTTCATCTGAAATAATGAATTATGTGAATTCAAATCGAATTCAAAAACAAACTGGAGATGTAAACATATTGCTGACTATTGCTGATTTCTTTCAAAGACTGCATGTTTTTTAATATAACCATCTTCTGGAATTTTAATTTAGAAAGTAAAAGAATAGAATAAAACAGAATAGAATATAATAGCATGTAATAAAAAATAATAGAAAGGAATAGAATAGAAAAGAATAGAATGAAAATTAGAACAGAATAGAATAAAATACAGTAAAACAGAGTAGAATAGAATAGAAAATAAAATAACAGAAGAGAAAATAAATGAATAGAATATAAAATAATAGAATAGAATAGAAAAGTACAGACTGGAATAGAAAAGAATAGAATAGAATAAATATAGCCGTCTTCTGAAATTTGAATTTTGAAATTCTAGGGCTTCATGTACACGAGCCTACCCTGACCACTAGCTTCAGCAGTTGCCATGGTTTTGCCGCGTTTTGTGGTTTCCAGCGGTCGGCGGTCACTGTAGGCTTATGTACATGGAGCCTTATAGAATAGAACCAGTAATTCTGCACAATGAATTTGGATCAATTCAATATTTTTTATTTGAATTGGATTTGAATACTTTGAATCCAAAAAAAAGAAATGTCCAGTTGAAAACAAATAAATGAAACAAAAATAATTATGAATGCAACAAAACAAAATTAGTAACTTAACAAATTGATCCGAAACAAAACACATTTTTTTGTTCTGCATATGTCTAGAGGGGTCTGGTTTCTCCTATTCAGGTGTATAAGGGGGCCACATGGGTCCCCTGGAGCATGGGGCTGGGTTGCAATTGCAGCCCATGTAGTTACGCCCTTTTACATTACATCTACAGTAAATATCCCAATTTCTTCTATCTCTGTTCTAGGGGAAGCCAGAATCTACTCTATATTTCCATGATGACAATTTAACAGGCCTGGTAGCCAACTTGTTTGCAGCTGGAATGGAGACAACATCCACAACTCTGCGATGGGGTCTTTTGCTAATGATGAAATATCCTAATATACAAAGTAAGACATGCCGTTATTGTGACCTCTGACCTTAGAATGATCATATGCGATGGCACATCACTCTGGGATTTATCAGCACTTACTGAACTTTGGGAAGTGTTAGCAAACTACAGTACAGCACTGCCTGCTTAAAGCCTACCTCTCTGTTTATTGTCCCATTAAATAGTTATAATTTGGGCAAAATTGGCCAAGTTCTGTCCCAATGCCAGAACACATAGCAGCGCTCCGCCTTACTCTACTTATTGCGGGAGTGGAATAGGAAGTCCCGTCCCATGGCAGGAACACAGTGCTGTATACTGTATGTAGCTGAGGCTACAAACTATTAATACAACATGCCCAGCAAGTGAATCCATTAGGTCAGTAAATAGTTTATTTGGGCCAGCTTGGAAGGATGAGGTTCCTGTGTTGGAAGTGCACTCGCTGTGCACTCCCAGCACATATACTGTACATAGACACTATATAACTGGCAGGACCAGTTCCCAATCATGTGACCACTCAAGTAGTGATCAAACATACATATTCTGGACAAACATATTCTGTTAAAGTGACACCGGGACTCAGTGGGAAGGGATAAATGTCTATTTTTTGTCCCTTGACATACATTGTGTTCCTTCTATTTCGTGTATTGTGTCATGTATTTAAGCCTCAAGAAGACTGTGGTCTGGAAATACTTTTTTTTTACTTATTAAACATATGCAGGGATTTCCATCATATTAAGGAACAGTTCGAGTTAGTCTGGATGTAAATGTCCTCTAAGAGGCTACCATTGGAGCTATTTTTTTTTATTATTAATGAAAACGAGCTGCCACATCACTATAGTGATTTATCTCTGATAGCACCTTTGGGTAGTGCAGGTGATAGCTTAAAATTCCATCAGAAAAGAATAAAGAGACTCTGTCACCAGACCACTAATTGTAACAACAAACTTTTCATAAGCTTACATGTACATTTGAAGTTTTTTATGCATATTATTTACCTGTAAGGCCCAGTTCACACTAGTGCGGGCCGCATGGCCCGCTTTTTTGTGGGAACATCAGTGTTCTCACTTGAATAGGCTGCTGTGCCCATGTTTCATGCAAGGAAAAGGTGCATGCCTTTTGAAAAACGTATCCACAGAGATGAATGGCACCCACATTGTCTCGCAATAAAAACTTGATGCAGCTGCAGGTGGTTGTGGGAACTGCACCAATTCCTGCAATCAGGGCCAGTGCTTCCACTAGGCAAACTAGGCAGCCGCCTAGGGCGCACTGCCACCTAGGGGCACCTGGGCGCATCACAGGCCAGCACTCTCTCTGTGTGGAACACCGCCACATCATGAATGATCCATCAGCTGAGGGGAAGGGAGGCAGAAGGGAGAAAGAAAGGACAGAGGAAGATGCTGGGTGTCTGGGGTCAGTGTAGCAGCTGAGCTGCCCATCCTTCCAGCATTTCTCTCAGACTCAGTCTTACTGCAAGCCGACTGGTGTGGAGTTCTAGCTCTTCTCTTCCCATTCATCAGCACAGGCTGAGCTGCACCTGCAGAGGAAGGTAATGTCTGACTCTGATGGCTCGTGTTTGTATGAGTGTGACCCGGCTGGCCAGCTATCCATCACCTGTGCAATGTGTCAGTAAGTGATGACATCATAGCCTGCTCTTCTACTGCCTGCTGGGTCTGCTGATCTGTGTCAATGTAGTTGGTGGTGGTGTGTTGTGTCAGGTCTGTCGCTGTGCGGGTTCACTCAGTTTAGCTGCCTGTTGTCACAGCCTTTTATCTCCCCCCATTGCCTGGGGAATTCCAGCCTGGGATCTGTCAGAATGTGGATCCATAATCCTCCACTCACTGCAACTGTCACCCTGCCACTGTCAGCCACAGATGCAGTCCATCCATGACACTGACTTTGTCTTTAATATTGGTGTTGGTTTCATGTTTTGTTGATTTAATATTTTCTACAGTTTTCTACATGAGGAGTGCAAGCAGCTGGTCTTTTCTAGGGTGCAAAATAGTCTAGCACCGGCTCTGTCCACATTTGCAACCAGCCCGCAGCATGTAGGCTAGTGTGAACCAGGGCTAAAAGCCTTCATTGTGTAGACATCCAAAAATTGCAGACAGAGCTGCTGGATTTTCTTAAAGATTGACTGATCAATGTAAGTATGTATGTGCCATAGCTGTGGGATCTCCGTGGAAGCTGAAAATCACTGTAGTAGTCACTGCTACTACAATGATCTCCACTAACATGTCAAACAGCTGCTCTGCTACATTATAAACACAGAAGGTTGCTCGCATGATACGGGCACAATTCAAAGAACACTTTGGAGTTGATGTACTAAACCTGGAGAGTACAAGACCTGGTGCATACCAATCAGCTGCTAGGTTTTTTTTGTTGCCTATTTGAATAAGCTGAAGTTAGAAGCTGATTGGCTACCATGCACAGCTGCACCAGACTGTGCACTCTACAGTTTTAGTAAATCAAACCTATTGCATTCTCTTAGTGAATGCAAAGCATTCTCTGATAGGATGAGATGAAGAGGTGGGAAGTGACATCACAATCTGCACATCTTCCATTCAGAGAACATTCCAACTTTCATGGACATGTCATCACACAGGTATGAGACATACATGCATAAATTGATCCAAGTTGGACCTATGTAACTACGTAAAAATTGCCATACCCAATCTTCAGCGTTAATTAAAGGAGTTGAGAATCTTCACACAGTAAATTATGCAAATATTACCTTTAATTGTCCAATCATGTGAAAAGCAGATTGATGGAATACCCAATAATATGTAGGTAAAATAAGTCTATATAAGTTATGTCAAAATAATTCTCAGTTCCTTTGGAAAACCAGCCTGCACATTTTCACCTAACCATGGTGTGCAATAGTGATGGGCCGAACAACCCCTTGTTTGGTTCGTGATCAAACATTCGAACCTAACGAAAGTATGACTGCGAACTTTGAGCTTAATGTAAGTCTATGGGACACAAACTTGTAAATTCAAAATTGCCCATTTGAAGGCTTATATGCAAGTTATTGGGCATAAAGGGGGTATTGGGACTCGGGTACTGCCCTGAGGGACATGAATCAGTGAAAAACATTTTTCAAGAAGTACCATTTTTAAAGGAGCAGTCATTTTGCTTAAAGTAAAAAAAAATTTAATTAATTTTAATATATTATGTCTGGGGGTTCCCTTAAACTTCCTGCAAAGTGCATAGCTGTACAATGTATAGTCCTGCTGCAGCAGGACTGACATTTTAAAAAAAAAAAATTACATTAAGAAAAAAAAAAAAACAGCATGGGGTCCCCCCTAATCGATACCAGACCCTTTAGGTCTGGTAGGAAGGATAGGAAGGAACCCACAGTAAAAAAAAAAAATTAAAGTGTGTGGGGTCCCCCTAAAACCATTCCAGGCCCTTTAGGGGAAGGGGCTGCAGGGGCTCCCCCCCCCCAACAGCATCTTGTCCGTAACCCAAGGGCCTTTTCCACACAACCCTGAGCTGTGGTTGTGGGGGTCTGTGGTGGGTAATTTATTGGAATCTGGAAGCCCTCTTTAACAAGGGGGAAACCAGATCCTGCCCCCCCCATGTGAATGAGTATGGGGTATAAAGTACCTCTACCCCTTCACCAAAAAAGTATAAAATGTTAAAAAACAAAACAGTTTTTAACATGTCCTTTATTTAAAAAAAAAAAGCTCAAAAGATGGTTCCATCATAATTCATCATTATTCACAGAGTCCAGTGCTGTCACGATGACACCGACTTGCCAAAAAAAACCAAAAAAAAACTCAGAGCACTTGTTGCTATCTGACATTTGCAGGTCAGATGTAAATAATTGGGCAGAGCTAGCAGTGATATCAAAGTTAGCTCTGCCCAATTGTGCTGTGATTGGCCAAAGCATTGTACCTCGCCTGTGGTCAGGTGCATTGCTTTGGCCAATCACAATCCACTGTAAGAGTGCAGTGCATTGTGGGGGATGTCCTTACCATTCATGTGTGTTTTACGTGTTCCCATACCATTTGTGGGAGCATACTTTGTGGAACTATACTCGTTCAGGATATACATTTTGTAGAAATTCATTCTGATATTTGCTTGCCAACAGAGAAAGTACAAGACGAAATTGAAAAAGTCATTGGCACAGCTCAGCTTAGATTAGAGCACAGGAAACAAATGCCGTACACTGATGCCGTCGTTCATGAGATCCTGCGGTTTGGTGATATTGCACCGGGAAGTGTTCCACATGCAACGTCACAAGATGTTACATTCAGAGGATATTTTATTCCAAAGGTGAGTGACTAAAGTTAACATTAGACATATGCATTTCATTTTGTAATGAATCGATTTTTATCTGAAAAGTTGATGTTCGGAGATTCAAATGTCTATGCATCCCCGACTGTACATAGCAACGAATCTAAAAAAATCTGAAAAAAGTTGTAATGAAAGTAACGAATGCATTTGTTTCATCCAGATAACATCACAGGATGCGAAAGTAGTTTGGGCCCATGGGGAAATTGATTACATTTTCAAATTAATTTGATCATTTAGATTCGAGTAAGTTGTCACAGTCAGTCAATTCAGTTCCACAGTCTAATTCAATTGTTAGGTTTGGAAAATATTGAATCCTTTTGAATAGTTTCGATATATATGAATAACAATTCCACCCGGAATATCGAAACTGTTAACTAATATAGTATATGTCAATCTTAAAGAAAACTGCAACATTTTTCGAATCCACTTGGACCAACGAATATATAAAAAAAAATGCCGAAAATGAATTAGTTCAACATAACGAATATGAGGAAACAACATTCTTCAATTAATAAAATGCATCAGAAACTAAAGAAAAAAATTGGGTGTGCATGTCTAGTTAAAGTATACAGTCAGGTCCCATAAATATTGGGACATCGACACAATTCTAACATTTTTGGCTCTATACACCACCACAATGGATTTGAAATGAAAACAAACAAGATGTGTTTTAATTACAGACTGTCAGCTTTAATTTGAGGATATTTACATCTAAATCAGGTGAATGGTGTAGGAATTACAACAGTTTGCATATGTGCCTCCCACTTGTTAAGGGACCAAAAGTAATGGGACAGAATAATAATCATAAATCAAACTTTCACTTTTTAATACTTGGTTTCATATCCTTTGCAGTCAATTACAGCCTGAAGTGTGGAATGCATAGACATCACCAGACGCTGGGTTTCATCCCTGGTGATGCTCTGCCAGGCCTCTACTGCAACTGTCTTCAGTTCCTGCTTGTTCTTGGGGCATTTTCCCTTCAGTTTTGTCTTCAGCAAGTCCAAATGCATGCTCAATTGGATTCAGGTCAGGTGATTGACTTGGCCATTGCATAACATTCCACTTCTTTCCCTTAAAAAACTCTTTGGTTGCTTTTGCAGTATGCTTTGGGTCATTGTCCATCTGCACTGTGAAGCGGCATCCAATGAGTTGTGAAGCATTTGGCTGAATATGAGCAGATAATATTGCCCGAAACACTTCAGAATTCATCCTGCTGCTTTTGTCAGCAGTCACATCATCAATAAATACAAGAGAACCAGTTCCATTGGCAGCCATACATGCCAATGCCATGACACTACCAACCACCATGCTTCACTGATGAGGTTGTATGCTTAGGATCATGAGCAGTTCCTTTCCTTCTCCATACTCTTCTCTTCCCATCACTCTGGTACAAGTTGATCTTGGTCTCATCTGTCCATAGGATGTTGTTCCAGAACTGTGAAGGCTTTTTTAGATGTTGTTTGGCAAGCTCTAATCTGTCCTTCCTGTTTTTGAGGCTCACCAATGGTTTCCATCTTGTGGTGAACCCTCTGTATTCACTCTGGTGAAGTCTTCTCTTGATTGTTGACTTTGACACACTATACACCTACCTCCTGGAGAGTGTTCTTGATCTGGCCAACTGTTGTGAAGGGTGTTTTCTTCACCAGGGAAAGAATTCTTCGCTCATCCACCACAATTGTTTTCCATGGTCTTCCAGGTCTTTTGGTGTTGCTGAGCTCACCGGTGCGTTCCTTCTTTTTAAGAATGTTCCAAACAGTTGTTTTGGCCACGCCTAATGTTTTTGCAATCTCTCTGATGGGTTTGTTTTGTTTTTTCAGCCTAATGATGGCTTGCTTCACTGATAGTGACAGCTCTTTGGATCTCATCTTGAGGGTTGACAGCAACAGATTCCAAATGCAAATAGCACACTTGAAATGAACTCTGTTAATCGACCTTTTATCTGCTCATTGTAATTGGGATAATGAGGGAACAACACACACCTGGCCATGGTACAGCTGAGAAGCCAAATTGTCCCATTACTTTTGGTCCCTTAACAAGTGGGAGGCACATATGCAAACTGTTGTAATTCCTACAACGTTCACCTGATTTGGATGTAAATACCCTTAAATTACAGCTGACAGTCTGCAGTTAAAGCACATCTTGTTTGTTTCATTTCAAATCCATTGTGGTGGTGTATAGAGCCAAAAATGTTAGAATTATGTTGATGTCCCAATATTTATGGACCTGACTGTAGGTAAATCCAATTAAAGCATAATATGGTAATATCATTTCAAAAGCTGGTTTTAATCTCTTGAAATCTGCAGCTTTCATTAAAATATTCTCTGGTGATACTCCCCTTTCTGTTATTGACTGACAGCTGTCTCCCAATGCTGCTCCTGCATTGTCACATGGACCCATGGTGGAGACTACAAGCAGCTATGCTGACCATTGAGCAGGCATGGTCCACTATTGTCGCTATTAGGAAGCCAATGTAGAGCAATGAGGAGTAGTCGCTGCAGAATGGAGTATATATAGACAGGGATTGGCTAAAAAAAAAGGCTGGAGAAGATAATCAGCAGTGCGATTAACCGCTTCCTGACCGCCCTATAGCGGAACTACTGCTACAGGGTATCAGGGCTGTGCAAAATCACGTGTATATATATTGGTGACTACAGCTGAGATTCCCCGCTAGCACCCAGCGATCGCCGGGGAACACTGATGGGGGAGAGGTCTGTATGTAAAGAATACAGATCTTTCTCCTGTCAGCACCAGCACTCTGCTTTGTATTACTCTGCATAGCAGAGCAGTACAAAACAACATGCCTTACTAGTAAAACACACCCAGTACACAGTTAACCCTTTGATCGCCCTAGATGTTAACCCCTTCCTGCCCAGTGTCATTAGTAAAGTGTCAGTGCTTTTTATTAGCACTGATCACTGTATTGGTGTCACTGGGGATGTCAGGGTCAATTAGCCAGTTCCCCCCCAGTGTCAGAATGCCCATCTCATTCCTGTTATAAGTCGCTAATCGCCGCCATTACTAGTATAAAAAAAAATCCCATTATATATACCACCATTTGCAGACGCTATAACTTTCACGTAAACCAATTAATTTACACGTATTGAGAATTTTGTTTAGCAAAGACATGTAGCAGAATACATTTTGGCCTACATTTATGATGAAATTTGATTTTTAACATTTTTTTACTGGATATGTTTTATAGCAAAATGTCAAGAATAATGTTTTTTTTTTTTTTTCAAAATTGTTTCTTTGTCGTTTTTCTTTATAGCACAAAAAATAAAACATGCAAAGGTGACCAAATACCACTGAAAGAAAGCTCTATTTGTGGGGAAAAAAAGGAAATCATTTTCACTTGGGTTCAGCTTTGCATGACCACGCAATTGTCAGTTAAAAAAACACAGTGCCTATCACAAACAATGGCCTGGTCAGGGAGGGGGGTAAATCCTTTGCAGGGCAAGTGAATGTGAATAAAAAGGTGAAAACTGTATTGTGTAAAAGTAAAATCATCCCTTGTGTTGATGTTTTAAAATAAACGTAGGCTTTAACGTGGTTGTCAGAGCTAAATGTTTTTTTACTTTAATGCATTCTCTGCATCAAGGTAAAAACCTGCCATGATGATTTGCTCTCTTTCTCCTTGCTGAACATGGACATGTCAATCAAATCCAATGAGGAGGGAGTAGGGCTGTGTGTCTATTGACTTGCACAGTCTGGCTCAGGAGCGAGCCTGCACATCTGCCCCTATATCAAGTGCTTTCTATGGGGACAGACACTGTAGAGCAGGAGCAGACAGCACTGACGGGGACCCAAGAGGAGGTTCTGGGCTGCTCTGTGGAAAACTGTTGCACAGAGCAGATAAGTATGACATGGTTGGTTATTTTAATTTTAACCACTTGAGCTCCAGAGGATTTACCCCCCTTAATGACCAGGCCTCTTTTTGCTACTCGGCGCTGCACTAATTCAACTGATAATTGCGCGGTCATGCAATGCAATGCTGCAGCCAAACGAAATTTACGTCCTTTTTTTCACACAAATAGAGCTTTCTTTCGGTGTAATTTGATCACCTGTGCCCTTTTATTTTTCACGCTATAAACAAAAAAAGGCCAAAAAATTTTGAAGGAAAAAACAATATATTTTTTACTTTCAGCTATAAAAAATATATAGTAAACTCAAAGTTGGTTATAAAATTTAGGCCAAAATGTTAACGGACAATTGTGCGGTCATGTAATAAGGTACATAAATGAAATTTACATCCTTTTTTTTCCCTCAAATTGAGCTTTCTTTTGGTGGTATTTGATCGCCTGTGCGGTTTTTATTTTTTGCGCTATAAAAAAAAAAGGCTGACAATTTTGAGGAAAAAAAAAAAACAATATTTTGGACTTTTTGCTATAAAAACATGTCCAATAAAAAAAAAATGCAAAAATCAAATTTAGTCATAAATTTCTGCCAAAATGCATTTCTGCGACATGTCTTTGCTAAAAAAAAAAACCCAAATACGTGTAAATTAATTGGTTTACGTGAAAGTTATAGTGTTTACAAATGGTGGGAAAGATACTGGGATTTTTAGGGGTTTTTTTCATACTAATAATGGCGGCGATCAGCGAATTATGGCGGCGATCAGGGACTTATGGCAGCGACCAGCGACTTATGGCAGGACTGCGGGGCTGCGGTGGACATTCTGGCATTGGGGGGTACTGACTTGGGGTCACTGACATCCCCCAAAAACACTAATACAGTGATCAGTGCAAAAACACTGACACTGTACTAATGGCAATGGGGAGGAAGGGGTTAACTTTATTTTGCAGGGAAGGGTTATAGGAGTGAGGGGGGTGTTTTTACTAGGGGGCGGGGGTGTGTGCTGGGCGGGACAAGGCTGATCGAGAAAGAGAAACTGTTCTTTCTCGATCAGCTCATCCTCGAGCTGACAGGGAAGTGACAGACATCACAGCTACTGCAGCTGTGCTGTCTGTCACTGTTTGCCGCCGATCGCCGGGACATAGCCGCTAAGGACCGGCTGTGACCCGGCGACTCACATCTGCGGCGGTTATCGGTGGGACAGATAGGGCGGCGGCGCGCCTCGCTTTTTTTGACAGCTGCTTTTTTTTGACAGCTGCATCAAAGTATCTTTCATTAATCAGAGCTGAATTGCTGTGTACTGCGAGGGGGAAGCAAGGCAGAAGAACTGGATGTGCTACATATACCCTGTGTACAATGATGATCTTTTTTTGGATGTGTGTAGCACGCCCAAAGTCTGCACCCAGTTAATAATAGTAGACTAGAAATAATAAAAATACAATGTGGAAATGAATAATTCTATATATCTAAGGTAAAATGTAAATGATATATATTACATTTTAACCTTAGATATGAATTAAATAAAACTGATGTTTTAAATGTTTCAAAAAAACTGAAAGTGAAAATATGTGTGTTTTAAAACTAAACTCTAAGTTAAGTGATTGTAAACCTCTGACATGAAATGATATATGAACAAAGCATATCCCTCTATAGTGTGTACTTAGTATCTCAATACATAGTACTAAGTGTCATTCTTGTTCGCTGTCTCATTTTTCTACTATCTGCATGAATCACCTCTGACACCAAGAGAAAAAAGGTTACAGGAGAGGGAGCTCTTCCTGTGTTTGACAGTTTCAGCTCTGTTCTGTGTGTTGTGTGAAGGGAGGTGTATTCCTTCTCTCCAATCCAAGCTCAGACAAGCTGTATATATTGTGGACTTTGAAGAGATGTGAAGAATAGCTACAGATAAACAGGTACAACTTATACAGGGGGATTAGTTTGAACTTTGTGTATCACCTGAGGCAAGTCACTTCACTAGGTATGTTAGGATGTCAAGACTTAGGTCTGAGCTTGCAACCTCTGCTGCGTTGGGCAATGTCTCTTTATACTGAGCTACCTGGGATACTGATCAGCTCCCTGAATAAGTTTTTGAGTGATTTTGCCTTGCACTTTGTTTCCCATGAACCTTGAACCCTTTGCTCCTCCCATGAACTTCCTATTTAAGCCATGCATTCGCACTTTCTGTTTGCTAGAGTATTGTTCTCTCTCCAGCCAATATGTTGCTCTTTTCACTTCTACTGTGGTCCATATCTCCGCTACCCCTTGTTACTGACTTTTGGTTTGTTCTTTGACTACACTTCCACCTAATCCCAACTTGCAACCATATGTTACTGACCTTTGACTTGTTTACTGACTACACTTCTGCTTGATCCCTACCTTCTATATCTGCTACTGAACCCTGACTTGCTCACCTCCTGGTGAGGCGATCCTGAGGAATGTGACCTGCTATTAACATGCAGTAAATTCCAACTCCACCATCAGGAGATCTGGTGGACACCGGTTAGTGCTTAGATTCCACAGCTTGGTTGAGTCCATGTCATGTGCTAGGGTGACTTGCTGCTCCATGTATCCAGCCGGTCAGTGGGAGCCTCTGATATAGCTGCTGGTCTATGAGCCTGACCCCTGACCGTGACAAAGGGTTTACAATCACTTTAAGTGGAAAAATGTCCTCTTGACATGTCTCCTCCATTCCCACCACCACGCTACAAGGTTTAAATGCTCATTTGCTATTCTCTGTTCTCCATTGCTCCAGGATGTGGGCAGGTCCTGAAAGTCCTTAGATACAATGCAGGACTGTTGATCATGCATTGTACAGAATGACATTGGCATGCGTGCAATTAGGAAAGAGACAAAGGAAAGCAGCTTTGGGGGAGCTGTAGTAAAGCATCCTGCAGGAGTGAGGAATAAGATAAGTATAGCTGACTACTACTAGACAACCACTAGATAAAATGAGCAAAAAACTCACACAAAACGCAGTTAAATCTTCATTTTCTGTCTGGACAGACTATTTCTATATAAACATGCCAAATTACTGTATTGCTTCATGTATTTGTTATATACTAACTGGTTGGTAACTTTTTCTCCTGCAGGGAACCACAGTCATCCCAGTGCTCTCCTCTGCTCTGAGGGAAAAGTCTTACTTTGAAAAACCATATGAATTCCACCCAGAACATTTTCTTGATTCTAAAGGCAATTTCAAGAAGGCTGATGCTTTCATTCCATTTTCTATTGGTAATACACAACACATTTTTGCATTATTAATTTGAGTGTTGGAAAAAAAGTTTTAATGAACTCTGGAAAACTTCAAGTACACTAAAACCTAAGCCTAAAGCCAGTATCCACTGTTACATTATTTGATGGACACGTGTATATGCTGATTTTACAAAGGTGGAAGGTATGATGTATTTCAGAACCCCCTGTCCATTGCAGTCTACCAGCTAAGAGTAGAATATGTAGAGTATGAAGCTCAGCTCTGAGTTACAGAGATCATGTTGGCCATTCTGACTAAGGATGAGAGAAATGGGGATATTTTATTTCACAATTTGGGAAATTTTGGCAACATTTTGGTGAAATGCATTGCAATCAACAGAAAAGGTGAAATTAAGAATTTGTTTGGTGGCTTTTAAAGCCAAACTTGCAGCAAAATTTCATGTAAAGCAAAAAGTAAGATTTATAATTACCCTACCCCATCTACCACTTGCATCCCCAGGCAAGGGTGACATCAAATTCCTTCTGGGATAAACTGTGAAATGTAGAAATGCTTATATCTTATGATAAGATGCTCTTACAACGGACTAGATTGTCTTCTCATTAGATTTCACCTGCTCTGCATTCCCCAGGAATCTTCCTGGAAGGATGTAAGGCAAGTATAAATATTACTTTTTCTTTACAAGCATTTTAGGACTCTCCAGAGGTCTACTCCTCTGCCATGATTTTTTTTAAGAAGCTGGCAATGTTTGTCATTTTCTGGCAATTTAAAGGATGCATTTACTGTTACAAAAAAATTAAAATAAGTAAATGCACAATTTTTTGGAGGTAAATCTAATATGCTAAATATTTTTTGTTAGGGATCGGTAAAGCATTCAGCAGATCGTAGGTGTAACGCCATGCAGACTGTCTGTGTATCTCTGATACAGGCAGGCAGTTACACCCTGACAGGAAGCACAGTGAACAGCACTCTGGTAGTGCATTGAGAACTGCAAGCCGACAGCTGCAAAGGCTGTTGAGACTTGAATTTTTCCCATTCACAGAACACTGTTCTTTTTTAGCTTGTGACAGCTAGATGTCAAAACAGGGACACGTCGGGGGGGGGGGGTCAGATGTTAGGGGGGGTTTCAGTGCAGGGGGCTAGTGCATTAATAACATGTTTAGATGTTAAACCCTGAATGTGGATGGTGTTTAGACATTGTCAGTAGGGCAGTGGATGGTGTTCGGACAGGGTCAGTAGGGCAGTGGACGGTGTTTGGACAGTGTCAGTAGGGCAGTGGACGGTGTTTGGACAGTGTCAGTAGGGCAGTGGACGGTGTTTGGACAGTGTCAGTAGGGCAGTGGACGGTGTGTGGACAGTGTCAGTAGGGCAGTGGATGGTGTTTGAACAGTGTCAGTAGGGCAGTGGACAGTGTTTGGACAGTATCAGTAGGGCAGTGGATGGTGTGTGGACAGTGTCAATAGGGCAGTGAACGGAGTGTGGACAGTGTCACTATGGTATATATATTGGAATTCACGCAGCTTTTACTTTCTGAATGCCTATCACATTTCTTGAGGTGCTGAAATGCCAGCGCAGTACAAAAAAAACCAAAATTACACCTTTCTGGAAAGTAGACACTTCAAGGAATTTATTGAGAGGCATGTTGAGTCCATGGAAGATGTTATTTTTTGCCAAAAAGTTTTGGAAAATGACAAATATATTTTTGTTTACACAAGTTGTCATTTAAATTGTATATTGCTCACAGATGCCATTGGTAAATGTGGAATAACACCCCAAAACACATTCTGCTACTTCTCACAGGTATGGGGATACCACATGTAAGACTTTATGGCAGCCTAGCCACATACAGGTCCCCAAAATCCAATGACCACCTTCAGGCTTTCCTAGGGCATACTGTATTTCCTCACATCCCTTCCTCGCTACCTATCACAGTTTTGGAGGCCCTAAAATGCCAGGATAGTACAAACACCTCCCCCCAAATTACTCTTTTTGGAAAGTAGAAACCTCAAGGAATTTGATAAGAGGCACGGTGAGTATACATCAGATATAATATTTTGTCACAGGATTCTGAAAATGAAAAGAAAAAATACATTTTTATTTTCTTTCTTCATTTTCCAAAAACTTGTGGCAATAAATGACATCTGCAAAATGCTCACCATGCCTCTTAGCAAATACTCTAGAGCAGTGGTTCTCAACCTTTCTAATGCCGCGACCCCTTAATACAGTTCCTCATGTTGTGGTGACCCCCAACCATAAAATTATTTTCGTTGCTACTTCATAACTGTAATTTTGCAGTGGGAGGAGTAGTGCCACATCATTGGTGTCAGTGGAAGGAGTAGTGCCCCATCACTGATGTCAGTGGGATGAATAGTGCCCCATCGTTGGTATCAGTGGGAGGAATAGTGCCCCATCACTGGTGGTCAGTGGGAGGAATAGTGCCCCATCACTGGTGTCAGTGGGAGGAATAGTGCCCCATCACTGGTGTCAGTGGGAGGAATAGTGCCCCATCACTGGTGTCAGTGGGAGGAATAGTGCCCCATCACTGGTGTCAGTGGGAGGAATAGTGCCCCATCGTTGGTATCAGTGGGAGGAATAGTGCCCCATCGTTGGTATCAGTGGGAGGAATAGTGCCCCATCGTTGGTGTTAGTGGGAGGAATAGTGCCCCATCGTTGGTGTCAGTGGGGAGGAATAGTGCCCCATCGTTGGTGTCAGTGGGAGGAATAGTGCCCCATCATTGGTGTCAGTGGGAGGAATAGTGCCCCATCATTGGTGTCAGTGGGAGGAATAGTGCCCCATCATTGGTGTCAGTGGGAGGAATAGTGCCCCATCATTGGTGTCAGTGGGAGGAATAGTGCCCCATCATTGGTGTCGGTGGGGGGGAGTAGTGCCCCATCATTGGTGTCGGTGGGGGGGAGTAGTGCCCCATCATTGGTGTCGGTGGGGGGAGTAGTGCCCCATCATTGGTGTCGGTGGGGGGGGAGTAGTGCCCCATCATTGGTGTCAGTGGGGGGAGTAGTGCCCCATCATTGGTGTCAGTGGGGGGAGTAGTGCCCCATCATTGGTGTCAGTGGGGGGAGTAGTGCCCCATCATTGGTGTCAGTGGGGGGAGTAGTGCCCCCTCATTGGTGTCAGTGGGGGGAGTAGTGCCCCATCATTGGTGTCAGTGGGGGGAGTAGTGCCCCATCATTGGTGTCAGTGGGAGGAATAGTGCCCCATCATTGATGTCAGTGTGGTGGAGGGGAGAATAGTGCCCCATCATTGGGGTCAGGGGGGGGGGAAATAGTGTCCCATCGTTGGTGTCAGTGGGGGGGGAAATAGTGTCCCATCGTTGGTGTCAGTGGGGGGAATAGTGCCCCATCATTGGTGTCAGTGGGAGGAATAGTGCCCCATCATTGGTGTCGGTGGGGGGGAGTAGTGCCCCATCATTGGTGTCGGTGGGGGGAGTAGTGCCCCATCATTGGTGTCGGTGGGGGGAGTAGTGCCCCATCATTGCTGTCAGTGGGGGGAGTAGTGCCCCATCATTGGTGTCAGTGGGGGGGAGTAGTGCCCCATCATTGGTGTCAGTGGGGGGAGTAGTGCCCCATCATTGGTGTCAGTGGGGGGAGTAGTGCCCCATCATTGGTGTCAGTGGGGGGAGTAGTGCCCCATCATTGGTGTCAGTGGGGGGAGTAGTGCCCCATCATTGGTGTCAGTGGGGGGAGTAGTGCCCCATCATTGGTGTCAGTGGGAGGAATAGTGCCCCATCATTGATGTCAGTGTGGTGGAGGGGAGAATAGTGCCCCATCATTGGGGTCAGGGGGGGGGGGAAATAGTGTCCCATCGTTGGTGTCAGTGGGGGGGGAAATAGTGTCCCATCGTTGGTGTCAGTGGGGGGAGGAATAGTGCCCCATCGTTGGTGTCAGTGGGGGGAGGAATAGTGCCCCATCGTTGGTGTCAGTGGGGGGAGGAATAGTGCCCCATCGTTGGTGTCAGTGGGGGGAGGAATAGTGCCCCATCGTTGGTATTAGTGACAGCCTGGGCTCGCTCTCTCACTTACCTGTCAGCTGTCTTCCTTCTCTGGCCGCTCTCCTCTTCACTCGCTCCGGCAGCTCCCTCGATCTTCTTTGATGTGTGCGCGCTGCCGCTCGGCTCCTCCTCTCCAAGCTCCACCTCCTCGCCGGTGATTGGCCGCCTGTGTGCCTCTCCTGAGCTACAGTTCCGGTGGCCAATCAGCGGCGAGGAGGCGGAGCTGCTGAGCGATCCCGGAGGTGTGGCCAGGTGACAGGAGCAGCGTATCATCCCGCCCACACATCGCCGGAGAGAGGAGCGGTGTCTCGGTTCCTAAGACCATCGGAAATATGTGTTTTCCGATGGTCTTAGGCGACCCCTGGGAAATGGTCGTTCGACCCCCAAAGGGGTCGCGACCCCCAGGTTGAGAACCGCTGCTCTAGAGCGTCTAATTTCCAAAAAGGGGTAATTTGGGGGGGAGGGGGGTGCATCCACTAGATAAAAGATAGGTTTTAGAGATTCAAATATATATTACTGTATCACCCAATAAATGGCTTCCATCCAGTAGCCAAAAAACATGCAAGCAAAAAAGGGGGTTTGTGAAAAGAAATTCACAGGAAAGCGGCTACATTATGGACAGAATGCGATACTCAGAAAAATTTCCAAAAATTATGCTTTATTTCACATTAAATGATTGACATACGGGCAATCGCCCTGGTTTACCATCACCTCAGTATGAGACAATACACACAGACCTAAAACCATTAAAATCACACCAAGACCGGTCTAGGTATATGTGCTGCAAATGCTATGACCATGAATAGTCTAAAGCACTTGCAGCACTGGCACATAGGTGACACTCCCTATAGGAGGTATATACCAGAAAAATTATACCAAAGGTATACAATATCATGTGCTATATATGTAAGCATATATCATTACCATATAGGTTACACCCCAAAAAGAAGGGGAATTCCAAAAATTGTACCAAAGGTATGTCATGTCACATGCACGCAAAATGGACAAACACAGTAGTCATCTGGAGAGAGGCATGACCCTAAGCCTATATGAGGCAATATGGGTAAAACATAGTATATAAACGCAGTACAACCCTATATAAGCACACGTGGTTGGGGCCCATTAATCTGTAATAAACGTGAAGTTGCAAGGATTCTTATAGTTGAAAGAGTCCCTGTTGTTGTCTTGATGGAGAAATAGATGCAAATAGCAGAGGTCTGCTTTAAAATGGTTTCTTCACCACAGCATGTGGACTGTAAACCACTTTAATATTAGAAACAAGATAAGGCCCAGTAGATCTTCCGCCTGTTGCAATATATGTAGTATGCCTTGTTTCTATATAGAGCACCATGATGTCCCCATCCACCTGTGCAATGGGTAGTAGAAAAAAGAAGAAAATTCCTTCATAGGTACTGCCGTATTGATCCAGGGAACCACCGCTTACATCAGCCGACATTTCGCGGGTTCCGACCTCTCCATGGCGCCTGTGCTGCCTTTGCATGACTCATCTATCTGAGACGTCGTATGACGTCAACGCGTATCTCACTCAGCTTCGTCAGGACCAGGACGCGTTGACGTCATACGTCAGATACGTCACTTCCGGTCATGCGCACTGGTGATATGCACGTCGACTTACAAGGAGGCAGCCATCTTCACATGCCATGAGTCATGCAAAGGCAGCACAGGCGCCATGGAGAGGTCGGAACCCGCGAAATGTCGGCTGATGTAAGCGGTGGTTCCCTGGATCAATACGGCAGTACCTATGAAGGAATTTTCTTCTTTTTTCTACTACCCATTGCACAGGTGGATGGGGACATCATGGTGCTCTATATAGAAACAAGGCATACTACATATATTGCAACAGGCGGAAGATCTACTGGGCCTTATCTTGTTTCTAATATTAAAGTGGTTTACAGTCCACATGCTGTGGTGAAGAAACCATTTAAAGCAGACCTCTGCTATTTGCATCTATTTCTCCATCAAGACAACAACAGGGACTCTTTCAACTATAAGAATCCTTGCAACTTCACGTTTATTACAGATTAATGGGCCCCAACCACGTGTGCTTATATAGGGTTTGTACTGCGTTTATATACTATGTTTTACCCATATTGCCTCATATAGGCTTAGGGTCATGCCTTGCTCCAGATGACTACTGTGTCTGTCCATTTTGCGTGCATATGACATGACATACCTTTGGTACAATTTTTGGAATTCCCCCCTTCTTTTTGGGGTGTAACCTATATATGGTAATGATATATGCTTACATATATAGCACATGATATTGTATACCTTTGGTATAATTTTTCTGGTATATACCTCCTATAGGGAGTGTCACCTATGTGCCAGTGCTGCAAGTGCTTTAGACTATTCATGGTCATAGCATTTGCAGCACATATACCTAGACCGGTCTTGGTGTGATTTTAATGGTTTTAGGTCTGTGTGTATTGTCTCATACTGAGGTGATGGTAAACCAGGGCGATTGCCCGTATGTCAATCATTTAATGTGTAATAAAGCATAATTTTTGGAAATTTTTCTGAGTATCGCATTCTGTCCATAATGTAGCCGCTTTCCTGTGAATTTCTTTTCACAAACCCCCTTTTTTGGGTGCATCCACTATCCTGAACTTTTATGCCCAACATTAGAAGCTTATGCCACACACCACCCACTTTTTTAACCACTTGAAGACCAAGCCTTTTATGACACGTTTTCTTTATATAACATTTTTTTTTATAGAAAGTTACTTTTAACCCCAAAACATTATATATATTTTTTAATGCAGAGGTCCTAGAGAATAAAATGGTGGGTTTTGCAATTTTTAATGTCACACAGTATTAGCACAAGGATTTTTCAAACGCAAATTGTTTTGAAAAATGTTTTGAAAAAATACACTTTTTTTAATTTACATGTACAAAAACATAATATATATATAAATACATAATATATTAACCAATTGTTTGATAATATATAAAAAGAGGATGTTATGCCAAGTCAATAGATACCAAACATGACATGCTTTTAAAATTGCGCACGCCTGTGCAACTGAAACAGACTATGCAAATCTTTCATAATCTATGCTTTAAAAGCCTTTACAGGTTACCATTTTAAATTTACATAGGAGGTCTAGTGCAAGAATTACTGCCCTAGATCTGAAATTCACAGTGATACCTCACATTCATGGAAAAATCTCTGTTTACATACTGACACTGGACCAACCGAGGGGGGTGGGGAGTGGGTTTGATTTTTTTTTTATTATTATTATTTATTTTGCTTTTTTTAAAATTTCTGTTCCTTTAATTTTTTTTTTCACTGTTAATGTTATCACAGGTAATGTAAATATCCTCTGTGATAGCAACAGGCTACTTTTACAGTAATTTGCTGCAAAAAAAGTCAAAAACGCATATGCATTTTTTGACTCATTTTTACTGTGCTTTTGCCATGCTTTCTGAGCATTTTTTAAAGGACAAAAAACTTAAAAACTGCACCAAAAAAAAGGCTTTTTTGAGACATTTTTCAGGCATTTTTCAGAAGCTTTTCAAACACTCTCCATTGATTTCAATGGGAAGAGGCATTTTTGGTGTGTTTTTTTTTACCTGAACAAACATGCTCCAAAGATGCTGCAAGCAGGAGTTTTTACACCACAACAGGAGGGCATTGCCCCAGTATGAAAAAATATACATAGACATAAATAGACAAACATAGGGAAGCATTTTTCTTGAGCTTTTTTAAATTATTATTATTATTATACAGTATTTATAAAGCGCCAATGGTTCGCTCAGTGCTGTACATTACAAAGGGGGACAGAACATGTGACAGAACAATACCAATACTTGCAAAACATGAGGGGATTGAGGGCCCTGCTCTTTCAAGCTTACAATCTAGGAAATGCAAAAATGCTCCAAAAAACTCTTCTTTGTGAAAGTACCTATACTTTCTTCTGAGAATTCTGGGGTCTATTAAACTTTAGATCTCTCCTCTGCCCTTAAAGCATCTGATCACACCAAGATTGGTGTGATCAGATTCTTTACCAATTTTAAAATGGCGCGGTTTATATCCAGTGAAACTGAAATGATGAAATACTCATAGCTTTTGTCCATGATCAGCTCTATAGTCAGCTGGCAGAAGCACTGGCTGCATTCTTGGGTTCCCCGATGGGACGGGAGAGCCCGAGAAAGCAGTGGAAGGTGGCCGGGGGGGGGGGGGGGAACGTCCCTTCATGCTGCTTGTAAAAGCGGTCCAGTGGCTAATTAGCCACTAGGATTGCTTTTACATGAAAGCGAACCACCAGCTGGAAAAAACAATACCAGAATGATGCCTGTAGCTGCAGGCATTTTTCGGTTATAACCACTTAAAGTTCAGCGATTTTACCAGTGCATTGCTGTTCCTTGTTGAGAACATATGTAACAGCAGAGAACATGGGCATATGATGAATCGGGTCTGTGGACCAATATTACCACAATTCATTCTATTTGTAATGCCCATGTTGAGGGTTAGGCCCAAAAAAGTTTTAAATTCAGAAACCATGATAGGTTTCCATGTAACTTGTCTGGCAATTGCTGAATTTTGGTGGGCAGCAATGTATTGTTGTGCATATGAATTGCTTTGGCCCACAATCAATTGTGTACTAGGGTCTAAACGCTAGTGCTGGCAGCAAATTGGGCTGATCCTGCTAAATACTGCGTTTTTGGGGAACACACTATACTAAGGATTTTGGCATTAGTATAGTTCTGTTCATTATCTATTATATTGATCCATACATTAAACACTATACTAGTAATGGTGATGATCAGCGACCTATACTTGAGTGCAATAATGTGCGGGCTGACCCTGGCTGGGTGGGGTGCTTACTGACCCTGGTGCTATCTGATGTTACTAGTGGTAGTAATACAGTGATCAGTGAAAAATTCTATATGCTGACACTGTACTAATGACACTGGCTGGGTGACCAAAGGGTTAACAGGGGCGATCTAAGGGTTAAATGTGCTAATCTAACGTGTGTGTGTGTGTGTGTAAAATGTAGTGCTTCTATGCATTTACTAGAGCCAATTGGTTGGTACTTTCTTCCTGCAGCTGCTGAATGCTGGCAGGAGGGAGAGGAGGAAAATACGTCTTTCAGCTGCCGCAGGAGGAAAATACAGCTTCAGTTATAGTAAATGCTATTCTCCTGTCCAGGTGTGACCCCCTAATGCATGGGGATGATGATGCCCCTCTAAATGTGGACACATGCTTCCCCCTGAGCCCTCCCCTTACCTAGTTTTGGCCCTGCTGTCAAGCACAGCCTTTTAGTTTTGCTGAACATGTGAGCAATGCTCCTACATTGTAGACCCGCACTTGATTTTTTCCGAGTCCTGTGTACATGCTCTTATTTAGATCCTTTTTACTATGAAATAAACAGCAATTGCTTAGTCTCTCCACTGGGTACAACCAAAGAAGGAGGCTTGAATGCTGCATAAAAACTCATGTGTATCTAGCCTAATACATATTTTATAACAGATGTTACTTTATGACTGATTCAAATGAACCAGATTTATTTATTTTTTCCTAGGAAAAAGAAGTTGTGCTGGGGAAACATTGGCTAAAATGGAGCTGTTCCTCTTCTTTACAACACTACTGCAACACTTCACCTTCCAGGCCCCTCCCGGAGCTGTGCTGGACCTCACCCCCGCACTGGGGGCCACAAATGCCCCATTACCATACGAAATGTGTGCAATCCCCCGCATCTAGATTAAGTCTGATTTGAAATACGTACTGTAGTAATTTATTTAAAATTGCATCTTTTGTTGAAATGAAATAAAAAATGACTCATCCACTTAAGTTACTGGTTTGTATTAGCAAATTTTACTTATTTCTTGAACAGCTAATTTAAGATGATGGGTTTTTATTTACATTTTAGGCATATCATGCATTAAGGTAAAAACCATTGAGGCTGTAGAACCACATTAAATTGCCAGCTGGACAGCAGCTTATAAGTTCCAGTTATATGGCATTGTTAGAATATGGGTCATTAAAGCTGCCTTTACGAGTACAACAGCCACAGTGTAGCATTGTTGCTCTCCATTTATCCAAAGCTTCCTGGCATGTCACCATACACTTGTGATGCTATCTTCTCTAGCCTTTTACATGTAGTTTATGCATTGTATGACTTGTACTAACAGTGTCCACATTTACTAGGACCACATTTTACCATATTTTAAAAGAATTGTTTTCAGGTCCATGTACAGTATGTAAGAGATAAACGCTATGCAAACTAATTTAATGTAAGATACCAATATAGCAAAGATCTGTCAATTATTTGCTTACCTGTACGAATACAGCAATCACATGACTTTTAAATGCCTTAAATAGTTAGCCTGGCCGACCAGGAAAGTTCCTTTGTGTATATCCCTGCTGAATATCTTTGAGGCATTGTGGATTTATGGGGAATTGTCCAATTTCAAGATAAATCTGGCTAAGTCGATGGCGTTATATGGTCCAACAGAATCCCAAGGGTAAACCTGCATCTCCTCTTTGCCTAAGGAGAGAGGAGGCATCAGTTTCCTCAATGTTTTCCGGTATTATAATGCAGTGTATTTCTCAATGGTGGACTGGCATTACAATGCAGACCTCAACAGTGGGTGGCCATGGAAGTCGAGGATTCCTCCATCCCCCTTTTGGCATCACTGTGGATCACCTCCTTGTTCCTTGGGAATATGCAGAATCACCCCTTGATTGGAACTACTCTTGTAGTGGTTAGGTCAACTTTTTAAACTACAGTCCTGTCACAGCTGCCCTCTCAATTGACTCCCATTGTAGGAAATCCTGACTGGTCTTACCAGTAGAACTTTCAGAGGTTACAACAAGGAGAATCCCATCTGTGGACGTATGGCCACAGGGCAGGTTACCCCCCCCCCTCCCATTCTGTTGTCTCTAGGCTCTCAGATCCGCATCTGGATGATTTGATTTCCTTCCAACTTGGAAATTTCCTGCAGACCTTTCAAAAAGCACACCATGTCCCTCACATGCTTACTTCATTTGAATTGCTGTGCAGAAAAGGGAACCATTGAGACATACGTTATCCTTCATATATAGTTACCTGACTACTTCGAGATGAGCTGAGGCTTACATTTGTTTGCTAGTGTGAGGCAGATTTAGATCTTCATTTGACGCTACAACAAGTAGACAAAATCTTTCTCCTGGCCCATAAATCTGCAATAGTAAATCAATATCTGGAAGTTGGGTATAGAATTCTCTCCAGGTGGTATAGAGTACCCTATGTTCTTCCTAAGACGAACTGAGCTGTTCCTGACATGTTGGCAAGGAAATGCAGCAGTAGGCACTATGGTTCATGTTTTTGGCTCTGTCCTGCTCTTACCTCTTTTTGGAAGGTGGCATCCACCATCAAACATCTAACCTCTGATGACCTGAAAGGTAATCCAGTCGCATGCTTACTTCACCTAACAAAGAGACCCCCTAAGGAAATATAAGAAAACTCTATCTATGCACCTGCTCAATGCTGCGAAGGCTTGCATCTTTGCTTTGTGGAGGTAACCTCAAACGCTAAGCAGAGTCCGGTGGTATTCCATCAGTTGGAAGAATTGACAGCTACACTCCAGAACTCTGAAGAGAATTCAGGGACAAGTGGAGGCCCTGGAGATATTTCACATGTATGGAAGCTTACTTGCAGGAAGTCACCCGTTCTGAGTCCACCCTTACTGGAGTCTGGGTAGAAACCCATATTTTTGTCAATCTATTCACTGTAGTGTTACCCTCTCAGAGTGCGATTAATTTGTATCATAACATCCTTGCAATTAGTCTTCTTACCCCATCCCTCAGAAGTACTGTATCATACAAAGGTAGCTAGAGACCAGGGGCGGACTGACCTTAAACCAGGCATGCCCCTGGGGTCAGTAGGGGGCCCCATGAGATGCCCCTGGTACTTTTTTCATAGGCTTTTTTGAGTTTGGGCAAGAAACAGGGGCCCCATAATCCCCTATTGCCCGGGGGCCCCATGAGTTGTCAATCCGCCCCTGCTACTTATATATAAATGTGTTATATATGTCAAAATACCTGTGTTTGGTCTCTCTTGGACCTTATAGCCCTTTTGTCTCTTTGAATTTCTTGTAGCATATGCAAAGCAATGTGAAAGCACCTAGTAATGTTACCATTAGCTTGTCTCTTTCATGTCATTGCGATTGTTTATAGCAGCGCTCCTGCACACCCTCTCTATTAAACTATTACCTTCTCTTTGTATGCAGCAAACATGAACACATAACCTCTCATATGTGAATCTAGTAACAATATTATGTGTATCACACAAATTGTACAAATTTTCACATGTGTAAATATTAAACAAAAAATATACTAATACAAAAATCCTAAAAGCAAAAAGTTATTATCCCCAACAAATGTCTATACATGATCAAAAAGAAAGTCCATGTGTATAATAAAACAGAGAAGCTTTTTCATCCATATAGTGATTCTTCACTTCATGTGTAAAAACACCACCACACCGTGTTGATCCATCACTCAGATGAATTGAATAAACTCACCAGAGCTCAGGCTGGTCAAATGATAAACCAGCTAACACGCAGTGGCTCTGGGGGCAACAAGCTGCAGCAATAACTCTAACTCCTACTCGACTGGTCAATCTGCATGAAAATGGATGGAATATCGTAGGAAGAGGAAACTCCATAGCGCAAAAAACCGTACAAATTTGTATTCCATAAAAAGAAATTTATCTCACTCACAATCTTCAGTGTCTCCACCGACACTGTTATGACAGCATGTGTATTTGTGAATGGTGAACTCCAGTATCACATATACCAACAGCTCACCCGTGCTATTTGGTGATGTCACCTCCAAAGCCCAGCCCTACACGTTTCGTCATCCAATGTCCTCCAGGAGCGGAAGGACGTGTGTCACCCATCACATTCAGTTTATACTCATATCTATTAATGAACATACAAGCATCGCAACTAAAAATATATAATACTAATGACAATATCCGCTGTCTAAAAAGCTCCTTAACCACTTGTGTACTGGGCACTTTTGCCCCCTTCCAGCCAGGCCAATTTTCAGCTTTCAGTGCTGTAGCACTTTGAATGACAATTGTGTCATGTAACACTGTACCCATATGAAAATTTTATAATTTTTTTTGAGACAGATAGAGATTTCTTTTAGTGGTATTTAATCACCTCCAGGTTTTTTTTTTTTGCTAAACAAACCAAAAACAACTGAAAATTTTGAAAACGAAAGTTTTTTTCTTAGTTTCTGTTATAAAAATTTGTAAATAAGTGATTTTTCTCCTTCACTGATGTGCGCTAATGAGGCTGCAGTGATGGGCACTGATAGGCTGCACTGATGGACAATGATAGGTGGCACTGATTGACATTGGCAGGCATCATGGATGGGCACTGAAAGGCAGCACTCAAATATGACACTGATAGGTGGCACTGATAGGCAGTACTGACTGGCACTGATAGGCTGCACTAACTAGCACTGTTCAGCTGCACTGACTGGCACTGATAGGTGGCAATTACGGGCACTGATAGGCGGCACTGACTGGCACTGATGGGCAGCACTGACTGGCACTGATGGGCAGCACTTATAGGCGGCACTGACTGGCACTGATAGTTGGCACTGAAAGGCAGCTAAGATGGGCACTGATATGTGGCATTGATGTGCATTGGTAGGCACTGATGTGTGACATCAATGTGGCACTGATGGGCACTGGTAGGTGGCATTGATGGGCACTGACAGTTGGCATTGATGGACACTGACAGGTGGCACTGATGGGGCTACACTAATCATCATTGTACATGTCCCCTCTGAAAAATGTTGATTACCGGCTCTTAAAGGGCCAGAATCCCATTAAAGGGTCACTCTACCCCTTAAATATACATAAAAAATTAGTCAAGAAACAATTCAATCAATGTCGATATTTAACCCTTTGGGTTGCAATGGTTTTTTTCTTTGATATTTCCTTTAATTTATCAATGCCTCTCCTAGGATGTTTGACCATATCTATTCAGTAAAATGTTAATAGACTGCAATCTTTGTTGTGCTTCAATTTAAAGTGCCTAGAAACACTATGTTTTTCAAACCCCTTTTTTATATTATGTTCCCCAATTCTTGTTTTTAATTGCCTTCTAGTTCTACCTACATACTGAATATGACACAGGCATTCCAATATGTATACTACATGTGTAGAATCACAGAATAAAAAGACCTGATTTTATATTCTTTATTTGTAGACATAGACATAAATGTATCTCTTCTTGTTTTATCCTGCTACATGCCTTACATCTGTTACATTTATAAAAGCCTTCTAATCCAGGAAACAACTTTACAGATTTTGGTGGATCAATCACATTGTGTATTATTTTTTCTACAGATAAATTTATGTTTATTTGGAATTAAATTCCTCAAAACATTATCTTTCTGTAGAATGGGCCAGTATTTTCTAAAAATCTTTCCTACCTCCTTATACTGTACACTATAATCAGTAATGAATTCTACTTTTATAGTCATCTTTCTTTTTCCTATTTTTACTAGTTAATAAAGAGTCTCTGCTTTTTCCAAAAATGTTTTTTCTTTCTTTTTCAAGTCTTGATCTATTACGACCCTTTTCCACAAACCTGTCAATTAATATATTACTTTGAGCCATATAATCTTTATCCATATCACAGTTCCTCCTAATTCTAGTAAACTGACTGTTAGGCGTGTTATATATCCACCTCAGATGATGGCTACTCAACGTAGGTATAAAACTGTTCCTGTCAGTGTCTTTGAAAAAGATCTTGGTCATTATTCTACCATCTTGTTTAAACAAAGTGAGATCTAGAAAATTAACCTGTTGTGTACTACTAACTGCTGAGAACTTTAAACCATATACATTACTTTTAATATCTCTAATCAGTTCATTGACATCATTTTGTGTGTCTTTCCAAAGGATCACAATATTATCAATATATCGCTTGTATAGGATATACAATATGCTTGGGTAGGATTAAATATGTAAGGGGCGGGGCTATCATGTCTGTGACCTGTCCTGTGTGACATCATTGACCCAGCATGCCCCGGTCAATGATGTCACTCAGGGGTCACACGGGTCATGTTACTGGGTGGCCCCGCCCCTTACATATTTAAGAACTGTCAAGCCAGCGGAGCAGGCAGATGGCAAGGAGTCGGCGTCGGGAGCGGAGCCTTTCTTTTTTTAATTTATTTCGGGTGGCGGCAGCAGGCATCATGATTGACATTGAATCTGCTTCGGGGGGGGGGGGGGGCATTCTTTTATTTTCCTTCTTCTAATATAGGACTTGTCAAAGACTGTCTCCTGTCTTTTTTCACACTTCAGGGTTTTTTTTTGTGAATGGATAGCGGTACCATGTACCCCATACTCATTCACATAGGGGGTGCTGAGATCTTGGGGCTCCCTTGTCAACGGGGGCTTCCAGATTCCGATGAGCCCCCCTTTGCAGACCCCCACAACCACAGCCCAGGGTTGTGTGGAAGAAGCCCTTGTCCCCATCAACATGGGGACAAGGTGCTTTGGGGGGGGAGCCTCCCCACCCAAAAGCAACCCCCCCATGTTGAGGGCATGTGGCCTGGTATGGTTCAGCTCGCTCGCCCATCCCCTTTCCTAGTATGGATTTTGGGGGGGGACCCATGCCATTTTTTTTTTTTAATTTTGGCATGGGGGTTCCCCTCTAAATCCATACCAGACCCAAAGGGTTTAGTATGGATGGAGGGGGGGACCTCATGCCATTTTTTAATTATTTTTTAATTAGAGACAATTTTTTCTTTTACATTCAGCTGTCAGTGGGGAACCCCGCTGACAGCTGAAACATTACTGCATGGTTTTCACTACTAAAAATACCACATGACTTGATAAAATAACTCATGCGGTATTTTAGTAGCGTTTTTTAGTGCATTCAAACTTTTTCATAAAAAATGCTATGCGGTATCCTATCACATTCTCAGATGCGGTAAGATACTGCTTAGTGAATTGTGCTCTGTGTCAGATGTCTATGCAAATCGCACTAAAAGTAGTGCATATACTAATTTTGAAATCCATTGTTGCTCTGACCAAGACCGATATGACTGCTCCAATTGCGGACAATAGGGTGCGACATGGCACGTGATTTGCAAGTCGCAGGACATGCAAATTGCATGTCAAGTCGCATCCAGTGTGAACTAGGGCTTAATGGTAACCTCAGGAGACCCTCCCAAATTCCCAGAATACACTGAAAATAGTAATTAATTAACTATTTCAGACATTTTGTGATAAATATAGAGAGCAGAAGCAGAGAGAGCAGTATGTGTTGAGATGACCTGTTTTTTCTAGTTGTATTCACTATGGATCTCATCATGAGCATAATGCAGCACGTTCTACCATTTTTTCCTTCACGCGAAACCTGCAACTGACTGCGCTGGTGTACTAGGTTCATTTCAATACATGAAAAACGTGCATGCATTTTTGATGAAGAAAAAAGGAACTGGACAGCATTTGGATATGGACGTGTCTAAACGCATTTACACATGTTTACAAGCGTTTGGCGTTTGAAACGCCGGTAAAATCTATTCCTGAGTGCGAATTTTGTGCATTCAAAAAAATGCCTGTAACCTCAACTGTCTGTAAACTACTGTAAATGACTATGTGTACATGGACACATAGGAAAACATAAAGGAGAGTTCAGGGGGCTGAAGAAAAAAAACGCACAACTGCTCCTAAACTTCAGTTTAGCAGGTGCAGTGTACATGAGCCCTAACAATGAAATGTATAATATTTATTTATTAGTTTCACAAAGTGCACTGTGCATCAGCCTTATTCTGCGACTTTATCCCCATCTAGAGTTCTTTTTCGATTACTACACACCCTTTTTGTTTCACACTTTATTTATTTGCATATATTCTATACTGTATGTTTTTAGATACTATGGCATCAATGAATTCCTATTCTTGTTTCTAATTATATTTTATTTTCTACATTCATTTTTTTCCTCTATCGTTATTTTATTTTTGGACCATTGGTACAAGTTTTTTAAATACTTTTTATGGCTTCCATGTACAACTTACATATTTTTACCTTATCAGTTTTACTTCAATATTTAATTTCTGCCCATAATATGTCCCAAGTTCGTGGATCCATTGTGCCCCATACGATTCCATGTTGTTTTGAACTATTTTTAAGACTTTGGAGCACTGCAGTTCTCCAGGCTATAAAATGCGTCCACCGATAGAGTCACTTAAGCTTGGCAAAGGAGGAGGGAGGCTTTGAAATGCGTAGCCATGCCCCTGTTTGGCCTCTGACTTAGATACCTTGGCTTCCTTCTATACTGAAATGTATTGTAAAGTGCTGCGCAAACTGTTGGTGCTATATAAATCCTGTATAATAATAATAATCAATTCCTATTGTTGTTTCTAATTATATTTTATTTTCATGACCCTTGTTTGCTTCCTGGTGGCCTAGGCTCTTCCAGCCAGAGGTGGTGCCTTTTACTTTTTGGACTGGACTCGTTTAATCCTGGGTGCAGAGTTTTCACCTGCAGCTGACATATTTGTGATATGCTCTTATTTTCACTGCCACGTCTGAATTGCAAAGTTTTTTTGCATTACTACATTCAGATTAGCTCCCTCGGGTGTTCACCTATATTCACGGAGATCTCTTCAGTCTCCAAGGAGCTGCATTGAATGTGTTAACCTATTATCGAAAATTTTCAGCAATTATCTTCTTGCCCAAAGCTACATAGCAAAGCATCTATTTACTTGTGCGTCATTTTGCATATTTCTTATTGCACTTTGGGTAACTGAAACACTGATATGTAGGATAAAACTAGAACACTCTGGAACAACAGTCTAGCACACAAAGTATGTGGTCCTCTCCCCTGTAGCAGCATATGTCTCTTAGGCTCACTTCAACAGTTAAAACTGCAGCTACCTCTGTACACAGTAGAACAGTATAGAATAATACAGTCCCTCACTCTTCCTGAGTTTTAGGTAGCGAAGTCCTCTTGCAGCCTTCCTCCCACAACACAGTTCAGCAGCAGACAGCATCAGGGGTGGACTGACAACTCATGGGGCCCCCGGGCAATAGGGGATCATGGGGCCCCTGTGTCCTTGCCCAAACTCAAAAAAGCCTATGAAAAAGGTACCAGGGGCATCTCATGGGGCCCCCTACTGACCCCGGGCCCTCGGGCCGTTGCCTGAGTTTCTAAATGGTCAGTCCGCCCCTGGACAGCATTCAGTCCCATAGACCTATACACTGGTGCTCAGATTCACATCAGTCTGTGTGTGTGGTCTTCAGCTCACTAGCACACAACCCAGAAAACAGCCCAGTCCAGCTCTTTGCTCTCACAAGCACAAAGAAAAGCTCCCAACCAGGGGCGGACTGACAACTCATGGGGCCCCCGGGCTATCGGGGATCATGGGGCCCCTGTGTCCTTGCCCAAAATCAAAAAAGCCTATGAAAAAGGTACGGGGGGCATATCATGGGGCCCCCTTCTGACCCCGGGCCCTCGGGCAGTGCCCGAGTTTCCAAATGGTCAGTCCGCCCCTGCTTCCAACAGACTTTGTGTGATAGAAGACCCTGAACCCTCAGTCCGGTTCCCCAATTGCAACACACTCTCCGGGCACCAAGTGCTCTCCTCCCACATCCCAGAGCTTTCTCCCCATGAGTCCCATTTAAATCTTTCTCCCCATGGTGGATGGAGCTAAAAAAATAACCAACAGCAATTCAGACACTAGCCTGGTGCAGGCAACCTCTTCTGCAGGGCTGCTAGGGGCCACTTAAAAAAGAAATGTACACAAAATAGGAGTTGTGCTTGCACTTTACATATTAACCACTATAATTAATATATTATTATTTTAGCACTGAGGTACTTTGAAATAAACACTTGCCCTCTGAAAGGTTTACTCCCTCTTCATGACCAGGCCATTTTTTGCTATATGGTGCTGCTGCGTTACTTTAACTGACAGCTGCGCAGTCTTGCAACGCTGTACATAAATTACATTTGTGTAATTTTTTTCCCACAAATAGAGCTTTCTTTTGGTGATATTTTATCACCACTGGGTTTTCTAATCTTTGCAATGTAAACAAAAATAGACCGACAATTTAAAAAAAAAATATTTTTTTATTTTCTGCTATAAACATATCCAGTAAAAAAAAACAAACTAAAAATCTAATATTTCCATAAATTTAGTTCAAAATCTATTCTGCTACATTTTTTTGGTAAAAAAAAAATCCCAATAAGTGTATATTGATTGCTTTGTGCAAAAGTTATAGCGTCTACAAACTATGGTATATATACTGGATTTTTTTTTTATACTAGTAATGACGGCAATCAGCGAATTATAGCGGGATTTTGTTATTGCGGCGGAACGTCTGACACTAACTGACACTTATACAGTGATCAGTGTTAAAAATATACATTGACACTGGCTGGGAAGGAGTTTAACAGCTAGGGCGATTAAAGGGTAACCAGTGTTTTTGTGCACACAGTGTGGTGATTTTACTAGGCAATGTGCTGGAATTTATTGCCTGATTAACAGGAAAAGAGAATCTGGCAGATCACCACTGAAAGGACACAGATCTGCCTTGTTTACATAGGCAGAGCTTTGTCCTGTCACTCTCCTAGCGGATCAGAGCTTGCAATTATTCCACAACATATAGCTGTAACTGAAACAAAGAACATTTACATGATTAGTAAGACATAATGTCCCAATAAAGTCCCAAATAGAGAACTTCTGTAGCCCTTGTATTCCTTCACCCACAAGCAGGGGCGGACTGACCATTTGGAAACTCAGGCACTGCCCGAGGGCCCTATGAGATGCCCCTGGTACCTTTTTCATAGGCTTTTTTGAGTTTAGGCAAGGACACAGGGGCCCCATGAACCCCTATTGCCCGGGGGCCCCATGAGTTATCAGTCTGCCCCTGCCTACAAGTGTCCTTCAAATAAATAAAAAAAGATGCTCCAAATTCCACTGTGCACACACCAAAGGTACAATCCACACTCACCAGATCGATTTGATACCTTGTTTGCAAAAAAAAATCGCCTAAGCTGAAATCATCACTTGGACAAGAAGTAGGAAATGAAGCCAGGACACCTCTTAAACAAAAGGGGGATCCTCTAAGTTGGTCTTCAACTTGGCTACAGCCAGCCCCTCTGCTACTCTATTTCATCTCCTTAAAGGCTTTATTCTCATATGGCAGTGATTTAAAAAATGGAGGCCTCCTACTACACCCAACTATATCGGCAGCCATATTTGAGCAACAATGGAGCATGATATAGATTTTAACCACTTCCAGACCGGACACTTTTACCCCCTTCCTGACCAGGGCAATTTTCAGCTTTCAGCGCTATCACACTTTGAATGACAATTGCGTGGTCATGCAACACTGTACCCAAATGAATTTTTACCATTTTTTTTAGACAGATAAAGCTTTATTTTGATGGTATTTATTTACCACTGGGATTTTTATTTTTTTTGCTATTTAACCATTAGCCGCCCGGCCAATGGCCATTTGGCGGCTTCAGAAGTGTCTCTCCACTCCGGGTGCACGCCGTTTGGCGTGCTCCCGCACATGCGCAGTTTGCGCTAATGCAGAGCGGCGCAGCAGTGCGATCTGTCACCGGCCGTGCACCTTGGACATGGCCGATAACAGATCCGAGTACCGGCTCCCGTTGCTGGTAACATGTGACCTGCTGTGACCAATCACAGCAGGTCACATGACAGTTGTATACAATGGATGGCTTCATTCATGATGCCATCCATTGTATACTAGTGCCTAGCTGTGAATGGTCACAGCTAATCACATGCACATGTCATGTGATTAGCTGTGACCAAATCACAGCTAAGCACAAAAAAAAAAAAAAAAAAAAGCTGAATGAATCGATTTCATTCAGGTAATTCTTTGCTTATAGCAAAGTAATTTTGTATAAGCAAAAAAAAAAAAAAATACTGATCACTTCCCCAAAGTAGTACAATGTTACTATGGCAACATTGTACTACTTTGGTCATAGTAAAATATGAAAAAAAAATCTTAAAAAAAATAAAATAAAATGTAATGAAAAATTAAATATAATAAAAAAATTTAAAAAAAAAATAAAAAATATATATATATATATATTTTTTTTTTCATACTGTCACCAGTCAGTGTCCCTGTTCACCCGCCATGCCAGTTATATGATGACGCTGTACTGCACTGGTGACAGTATGTAAAAAAAAAATAGTGAAAATAATTTTTTTAATTTTTTCATTTTACGAAAAATTATGACAAAAAAATACAACTTCAAAAAACTCGCCATGCCTCTTATGAAGTACGTCGGAATGTCTACTCTGCAAAAAGGGGTCATTTGGGGGATATCTGTACTATTCTGACATTCTTGGACCTCAAGAAATTAGATTGGCTGTCAGTACTTCAGGACTGATCAATATTCAGATCTATACCATAGTTTGTGAACTCTATAACTTTCCTACAAACTAAAAAATACATCCTAATTTGGGTTATTTTCACCAAAGACATGTAGCAGAATACATCTCGGCCTAAATTTATGAAGAACAATTATTTATTTGTAAACTTTTATAACAGAAACAAAGAAAAATGTGTTTTTTTTTCAAACTTTTTGGTCTTTTTTTGTTAATTTAGCAAAAAATAAAAACCCCAGCGGTGATTAAATACCACCAAAAGAAAGCTCTAGTTGTGTGAAGAAAATGATAAAATTTTAGTTTGGGTACAGTGTTGTATGACCGCGCAATTGTCATTCAAAGTGTGAGAGCGCTGAAACCTGAAAAATGGCCTGGGCAGGAAGGGGGAAAATTGCACGGTATTGAAACGGTTAAATGAAAAAGTCCACAAATTTAGAAAAAAAGTGTTTTTTAATAAAATTTTGCAAATAAATAATATTTCATCATAAATCTTTGCCAAAATTTATTCCGTTATCTTTTCATTAAAAAAAAAAATACAAATTAGTTTATAACCAAAAATTATAATTTTTAAACATTTTTTGTTTACATTTCTATTTTATTTTTTTTTATTATTTTTATTTTTTTTATATTTTTTTTTACATACTGTCACCCTAGCAGTACAGTGTCACCATGGTGACACTGTACTACTTGTGGGGGGTGATGAAGATTTTTTTTTTTTTTTTTACACTGATTGCTTTTACACCCATATAGGATGTAAAAGCAATCATTTCTCTTTCTCTCTGTGTGCATTCTTGCACTCATTGAGAAGTACTGAGTGAGCTGTGATTGGTCACAGCTTGTCACATGGTACAAGGCTTTTGTGAATAGCCTTGTACCATGTGACCTCTGTGATCATTCACAGATTTCACACGTAGTAAGCAATGATGTCACAAGTGACATCTTGCTTACTACTTTGCATGTGATCACTGATTGGCCAATCAGTGATCACATGATCGGGACCTCATACAGAGGTCCCGTCCAACGATCGGTGTTTCACTGTGTCCGGAGGACACAGCGGGCACCGGATCGCGGTGCTGCGCGCTCCGAGGGAGCGCGCACAAGCAGGGTGCGGGGAGGCCGTTTATAAACAGCCACCCGACCCTGCACTGCCACCGTCCGGCCGTTTATATACAACGGCCGGTCGGGAAGTGGTTAATAAATAAAAATATTTTAAAAAATTCATAAATGCAAATTAAAAATGTGAACACTTCTGACAGCTGAAATTTTGATACAAAATATTATGCCTATTTCAATGCTGCTGCCAACAGTGTCATATTCAACCTCAAATACTGTAAATAAGCTGTCCCTATCCAGCAGGAGTCTGTCCCTTTTCTATCCAATTTGCATCTGCTCCAGCTGCAGTGAGGCATTACTATTTATTGAAGGATGGCCATTGAGGTCACCAATGTTCCCCTGGTGACAAGCTCTTGTCAAATACTTATTCTTTTACAAATATTTTATTGAAGAAAGATATAGCAAAATAGCCCAACAATAAGGAAGGCATAGGAGACAGAGGTTCGTACACAGTGGTGGTACTATACTCAGTAGCAGGTCAGTATATCACAAAGCGAGTACCATAAAACTTTTACATATATAAAATATCCAGTAGTGTTTTTATCCAGTAAGTACAGATGGACAAGCCATTCCTATTAATGGTAAATACAGTATATAGAGGTTGGGCAAAATTATGGAAACACCAGGTAAAAGAATGAAAGCGTTACCTAATAACACCTTTGGCATCCAAGAAAGACTGAATTCTTACAGAGATGCCAGAGGTGGAAAATGAGCCGTAACTTTGTTCTCCAAAATTAACCATAGTGGTTCTATGATATTGAGGTCCTGTGACTACGGCACCCTGGGAAGGAGAAAGATTTCTTCTGCATGTTCATAAAACAATTTCATAACACCAGCTGTGTGAATCAGAGCATTATTGTCCTGGTAAAAGGCGCTTTCTTCTGGAAACAATATCTGCATTGTGGGGTGCACATGGTAGTCCAACATTTGTACATGGTTGCTGGCAGTGACTCTACCTTTCAAGGTGATGATGGGGACTGAAGATATGGCTGCCTAAACCATGATTGTGCCACCACTATGCT